TAAAATAATTACTCGTATACTAGCGACAAACAGCTTGTTAAAAATGATGAACATCAGGAACTCAGATGAATGTGAATATTGTGGGCAACTAGATGACATTCAACACAGAGTCTGGTTCTGTCCGAGAGCCAAAGACCTATGGAATGAGTTGAAAGCGTGGTTTAGAGGCAAGCAACTTGGTTTTCTAGCTGATAAAATCGCATTACAAAAGGTAATTTTGGGAATAACGGATGATGCATTGGCAAATCACTGTGTAAGTGCTGCAGTGCACATCATTTGTTCAAAAAGAGTACCATCAATTTCGGCTTTAATTGCAATCCTGAAAGCAGACAAGGACAGTGAGAAGTATAATGCCAAAATTAATAATAAGAACAATGAGCACGATAGAAAGTGGGCCCCTCTCGGACTGTCTTTCCGTAACACTGTGGAGATGGAGCACCGCCACTAGTAGCAGCTCCGAACGTGGATTGTTATGTATCTGTGTACGTCGCTGTATGTGTATGGTTATGGTGTACGTACGTCAGCCTCCGTGTGAGCACAAATGTGCTCCCGGACCATCCGCAGCTGACTGATCGGCATTGGTGATGGACTGTGCATTGTGCTGCCCCCGCCCCTAACCCATCCGGGCTAACCCGTGACCGGCCCTGCACGGCGGCCCTAGCACGCTGCATGCAGGGTCGGTCCGCCGGCCGCTCGGCCGGGGCGCCGGACTGCGCGATGGCGTCCCGCTCGGGCGGTCGGCGTGATAGGGGCGCTGCCCCTGCGAATGTTTGCCTATGCGTTTTTATATCCATACGCCATTATTAAGCAGGGCAGCGCGGGCGGGGGCGGGCGGCCCGTCTGGAGCGCCGGGGGGGGGGGGACGGTATCCTACACCTCTCCCCGGCCAGGGAGGTGTCTCTTATTAGCTCTCCCTGGGGCTGGGGCGGCAATGGCCTGAAAGTGTCGTCCCGGCCCGCCCAGACGGGCGGGTATTCTCATTATACGTCATCATTTTTTTTAATAGTGTTGCTGATGCTTTCTCAGTGTGTGAACATTTTGTGAATAAAACTTTGGAAAAAAAAAGTAATTAGGCATACATGTTTTCTTTCGCTAAAATCGATGAAGTAGTTATCTTTATTTTTTAAATCTTTTTAGCAGTCTTTTAAGCGCATCATGGAAGCTTATAAACATTTGTGTATTTTATCGGCAACCCGGCTGGCCAGACCGAGACGGTGCCGCATATAGTTCTCATCGATGTTAAACCTATACACTTATTTTTCTCCAATATTGTCATTGTCCGTGAGAAAAACATACTCTTATGGACTGGTCTCAGTTCATGTAGAAATTGTTGCATATTCATCAACACAGATAAAATGAATATTAGCCCTCACCACACATATAAGTAGATGTAAGTAGACCGCGCCCCCTGTTTTTCACCAATAAATCGCGGCAAAGCGAAGGATTGCGACGATTCTTTGGTGCCCTGGAGTTAATCAATTTTACAACTTTCCAGAAAATTGAATAGCCCTTATTATTTGTCCATCTTGTCTGAGAATTTTAAATCTTTGAACCAAATTACCTTTAACCCTCGCCCGTAAACGGTGTTTTGCCACCTTCGCCCATGCAGGGGGGGGGGGGTTGGTGCGACCCCCCCTGGCGTTTGAAAATGGAGCATCGTAGAGCTTAGCGGAAAAGACCAACGGATTGCTCTCAACGAGATCTCGCGATTGGTGGTATATTTTTTGGTCCTAGGTCAACATTTGACCTACTTATGACCGGTCAAAGGTCAAATTTTCGGAAAAATCTAACTTTTTCAGATTTCCGCGCCGATTGCGGCAAAACGGTAAGAGGTATCGACTTGAAACTTTCACTATCGTGATTCTTGATCAATTCTCTATCGTTTGGTGTGTATTTCGATGTCATAACTCTAAAAATGATGCGTTGGGAGCATCCAGTAACCTAGGATCTCAGCATTGACCGGGACATAAAAATAATTGGCTTTCTCTCGTCAGCGATGACCAGGACCCTCAAATCATCCGATAGGCGTTATCACAAGTGTATTCGCGGCCATTGGGGCGACGTAAGAAAAGAAGAAACCAACTGGCCCCAAGAACTTTAAATTATCAGTTAGCATGCACCTTTTCCTTGATGTGTAGAGAATTTACCATTATTTGTTACAGAAAATTGCATTTAAAATCTTCCATTTATGCTTTTTTCATCGTTTACACAATATGTTCTTTTACTAAGCTAGAAACACTAATTAGAAATAGTTCCCGCATCATCAAGAATAATAGGGAAGGCTTGAAGTGAATAAAATAATTTAAACGGTTTTGTAATCTATGTGAAGGCACTTCTAAAATTGCCTGTAGAAATATTGAAGGCAAAAGTTCAACTTTTTCACAAGACGGATGTCTATAAACCAATTTAACTTGTGACAACTCAGCCGGTATTTCGTCGCCTACAGCCCAGCTTTCCCTAGTGACCGATAGAGGCGCTGCTATCGATGTCCGCCCGTGCCGCCTAACGCGGATTTCTCTCGTCACGAGCAGCTCGCTCTTTTTTTTTATTTTTCAGCGAAGCTCTGGCTATTTTTATCAAGGGCCGAATGGCTGAGGGTTTCTACGCCCCTCCGCTACATGTAAGACGCTGAAAAGAAATGCCTAAGTGGGTGAGGGTTAAATATCGATTGGTTTTTAAGTGCCGAAGCCCGAAACACTTTAATTTACTTCGATAGCAGTTTTTAAGACCAACGAGCTCAAATACTATAGCTTCTTGAACAATGTAAGCACCACATAAAATGAATCGTAAGAGAAGCGGCTCAAGATTAAGGAGCTATGAGACACTTAATAAAAAACGGCATAGATTAGAAACTGCACCTAACTTGCACTGATTTTTAAACCTTTTCGTTGCAGACTGGTAGATTAAATTTTAGGATTGATTTCAGCTGATGCTCAAATGGAGCTATTCATTCGTTCATTCATGCGACCATCCAATTCCATTCATAAAAGAAGCCAGTGACAAAATTGTTCATTTTAGATATGTGTGAAATACAAACTCAATAAAAGTTTAATGATACGGCAAATTTGACAGCTTTTATAATGAACAGACAAAAAACTTTAACAAATCAAAGTTGAGAGCCCCAAATAGGGGAGAGTTAGGTAAGATGAGCCAAGGGGCAAGTTTAGCCACCCCATGTTTCTCAGCTCCTATGGCGCTAATTGACTTGAGCTTCCATGTGCCGTTTGCTTACGATGTTCACGTCTTTCACGCAGGGGTGGACAAATGTGCCGAGTTGGGGTAGCACGAGTCTCACCAATTCCACGCCGGCTGCGCCGGCTTGGCTTTGAAGCCGCACCAGACAGCGGAGGTCAAGGTCACCGCTAGGGCGGCGGGGGATTTGCTGCGCCCGTGCAACCCCAACTCGGCATATTTCTCCACCCCTGCTTTCACGTCTTTCACGTGAGACGGCAACGTTCTCGCGCTCAGCCCCGGTAACATGTGGTATCACCCCTAATAACTAAGACATGTTTTGCCTTTAAAATGAGATGGTTGTTATCTGCGGTGCATGGTTATTTTCCTTAGCAGGTGTCAGCCATTAATCGAAAATGACCACGGGTGGGGTAAGATGAGCCATTTTCACCTTGGGTAAGATGAGCCGGATAAGCCATTGTTGTCTCCGCTGTCGAAAACCAAACTGAGCTGCGCTTGTTTCTGCTGAATAAAAATGGTAGGAAATAGTTTTTTCTTTGTTGATTACACAAGTTGTAAGTGATTTGCAGATTATCTGAAGGATAATATGATTTCTTCCTTGATAGAAAACTTGACGAGTTATTGGAAGGCTTTAAACAGTTACTTTTTGATGGAGGAAAAAACGTTGCCATAAGTATGTATCCCATGGAGTAAATAAAAGAGCCCACTCTTCGCCGCGCCCGGGAAAAGAAGAGGTTCGCTTTTTCTATCCATGCTCAACTTTCCCCACGACGTGTCTCAACTTACCCCGCCCATGGGGTAAGATGAGCAACGTGCAAGATGATTTTTGACGCAGCCTTTCAGTACAAAAATAAGCGGTATGAAACATTTCTGGCCACCATTACATGCGCAAATGACCAAAAGTCCGTCCAAAAGTCCGTCCAACCCGTAAACGCAGAAAAATGATCAGTAAGGTAGCCTGTAGCTTACGAAAAAAACGGCTCAACTTACCTCATTCTCCCCTACGTGACACAATTGAGGGCATTTTTTAGGCCATCACAGTATTTGTCAACAATTGTTGTTTAGGGGACTGGGGAGGGTGGTTACTGGCTCATTAACTGCCCCCGCCCCCCCCCCCCCCAAAAAAAAGGAAAGAAAACGAAACCGATCAACCGCGAAAAGAACTATTGAGCTCGAACCAAGGTGACGAATCGATTTATAGGTATGCAGGATGACTAACGATGCCACTTGTTGACTTCTTGTGTCAAATAAATTCCATCATCTGGATAGCACGTCAACTCTGTGGTATCACTATTTGACATTTTGCAACAAACGTATACTATTTGGCGCGACTAGCCTCATAAATGTTCTGAAACTAAAACAGTTTCTTCGCAATTAACTTGGACGACGTCATCCCAGCTTATGCACGACCAAAAAAAGATATCGCTTCAGGATCACTGGCCCGAATTCCAATGCTTAACCCTCGCCGGACCTATTGGTTTTCTACATACGCGCCGGCCGAGGGGGGGGGGGGCGGGTACGACCCCCCCCCCCTCGCCGTTTCGCCCCTGGTGGAGCTAGCGCGTCGCGGAAAAAACGAGCGTGTGCGCCGTTACGAGACGCAGAGATTGGTACCCGATTTTAAGGTCCTAGGTCAACCGGTGACCTCTGAGGTCAGGTCAAGTGCCCCAAGGTACGGTTCAGTTTTTGGTGAATAACTTCGCAAAAAACGGCCGCAGAGCGCCGATTTTGGCAGCATCGTGTTCGCCTCGCTCAGGCGCGTCGAATGATATACTTTTTGTCCGGGTCAGGTCAACTTGGGGTGTTGTGATTAGTAGCCTCTTACCTTTTTTACCTTCACCCGTGACCCGTGTTGATGTACCCTACCTTTCCTCACCCAGTAAAACATTCCTCTATTTGCCCGCCCCTGTCCTGAATCCATCACTTTTTGTTAGTGATGTAATGCTTCCATTTTTCACCGAGCCGATTTCGTTTTGTTTTTATCCTTTCTAGTCAGTCTGGATCCATCTGTCGCCGTGTTACCGCTGCCTGTAAAGTAATAAACCGGCAGAGAAGTTGACGTTGGAATTTCAAGTTGCTAACCAGAGGAATCGGCCTGTAATTTTAGCGTATCTACCACATAGTCCTCCGCGGCCGGATGACTGTTTTTTCAGTCATTTGTTTCTTTGTTCTTTGCTGATTGCGATGCTTTGAAGATTTGCGCTGTGATTTGACATCAAGATGCCTGACAAGATGAGTGAGGAAGTGGAGGTGTTGGTGAAGGACAGAACTCTGCTTAGAGGTAAGGCCACAAAGCTGACCCGTGACTTGAAAGACTACAGGGCAGGAGTAGTCGATCAAGATGACTTGGCGTACAAAATTCATGTTTTGGAGCAGCTAGAGCAGAAGATGGTTTCTTTGCAGGATGTTCTGACTGTCAAGGGAGTGTTTGACGAGAGTTCACATTTAGATGGCATCAGGGAGGAGGTTTTCAAGGCAAAACGTCATCTGTCAAGGATTGAGAATGTGTCTGCTCAACCAGCCCCAGCTCAGTCTGACTCTACTGACCTGAGGGCATCTGATGTAAAGATTCCAGTATTTTCTGGAGATCTGTTACAGTGGTCGGAATTCTGGGACCTGTTTGAGGTTGCTGTGCACACCAATTCAAGGTATGTGAATGTACAGAAGTTCAGCATACTAAAGAGCCACCTCTCTGGTTTAGCACTGCAATGTGTTAAAGGTATACCAGTGTCTGATGCTTGCTACCAGTCAGCTGTGGAGGCATTGAAAGACCGATTCTGTAAAATCGAGAGAGTGAGGGAGGAGATCATGAAAAAGTTGTTGAACATGCCCAGTGTCAGTGACGACCTATCTGCCATGAGATCCTTCATAGACCATCTGATGTCACATGTGAGGACACTGACCGCGATGGGAGTAAGCTGTGCTAACCTGTCGAGCCTGCTTCTTCCCATAGCCAAGGGAAAGCTGCCAGAGTCGTGGAGGCTCGAATGGGCGCGCCAGCACCAGCCGGATCCAGGGTTGGAGGACTTCCTCGGGTTTCTTCGCAAGGAGATGGACATGAGGGAGGAAGCCAACATCGGCGCCAGGCATCCTGTCCCTCCGGAACGGAGCCCACTGCACTCAGTGAGTATGCTGGCGGTGAGTCGGAACCGAACAACCCCTGCCAGTGCTGCATGGACCTGCGTGGCTTGCCAAAAGGATAAACATGGCCTGAGCAAGTGTCTTGACTATCAGAGAATGTCTGTTGATGATAGATGGCTTGTAGTGAGGAGGGCTGGTTTGTGCTATCAGTGCCTGGGGCCGCACTTTGCTCGTGACTGCCGCAGCTCCAACTGCCGTGTGTGTGGAGAGCGACACCACACCAGCCTCCACAGTGAGCCAGGACGCCAGCCCGGAGCTGGTACCCGTGACCGACGGCCGCCCGCACACCGAGCGGACAGCCGTCCTCAGCAACTGCCTCCCTGCCGCGAGGGGAGCTACCTACCAGATCTGCCACCGTCACCGCCAGTTGGTCAGCAACCTCAACGTCCAGGTTGGTCGCCCGCTGTTCCCCGCCAGGCCATGAATGTCACCGCTGCTTGCGCTGTTGATGTGCCACAGCCAGTCTTACCAACGCCAGTCTCACCACAGCCGCTAGTGCCATCATCCAGCACTACCGCTAGGGTGAATACCGCTTGTGCTATGCCCGACGTGCATATGACGCCGTGTGCTGTCGCTCACTGCTCACCTGATGCTTGCCTGCTGGAGGCTGCTCCGTCTGACCGACCTGCTGCATGCGAAAACTTGTGTTACATGCAGACAGCTCTGGTGGAGGCGTCTGGACCGCGGGGTACATGCCAGCTTCGCGTTCTTCTCGACGGCGGCTCGGACTCGTCGTACGTGAGGACATCTGCAGCGGAGCTACTCGGTCTGCCCACGGTGGGGAGAGGTGTGTTCGCCTGCCTGGGCTTCCAGGAGCGGCTCGAGGAGCCGAGGATGTATGAGAAGGTGAGGCTGTCTCTGCGGAGCCGTCACGGTGGGGAGCCTCACGTCTTCGATCTGTGGAAGACTGATCGTCTCTGTTCCCAACTGACCCCCGCCCGACCGCCTACTGCCGTATTTACACCGCATCTTCTGCTTGCTGATGATTTTGAGGGTGGGCCGGTGGACGTGTTGATCGGCGCCGACCTGATGTACAGAGTTGTGTTGTGGGAGCACTGCCCAACTTCAGAACACAGCCGAGCCGTCCATTTGCCAAAGTCGGTGTCGATTTTTTCGGCCCACTGTACGTTGATCAGAGCCAGGCGAAAGTGTGGGTGCTTTTGATAACATGTGCCACTTCCCGTGCGGTGCACTTAGAGCTTGTTCGCTCACAGGCCACCGCTGACGTGATCCTGGCGCTGAGACGGTTCTGCGCCATCCGAGGGACGCCAGCTCTGGTGTACAGCGACAACGCTCGGACGTTCCGGGCCTTGCTTGGCCACCTACCCCGGTCGGTAACGTGGAAGTTCATCCCTGAGGCTGCCCCCTGGTGGGGAGGGTACTGGGAGCGTTTGGTGGGCGTGACAAAGAAGGCTCTTCGCATCACCCTACATCAGTGCCACCTGACGTTTGAGGAGTTGTCTGCCACGATGTATGAGCTCGCTTTTTTCATAAACCTGCGCCCCCTCACCCAGGGCGATGGTGAAGATCTCCTTACCCCCGCCCACCTGCTGTTCGGCGTGACGAGCATAGACGGTGTCTTGTGCCCAACATTGAAAGAGTGTTCCATCAGCAGGGCCTGGCGTCACCAAAAGCGGGTCTGCGACCATCTGATCCGGCGGTGGTGTGATGAGTACCGCAACGCTCTCCGCTGCTGGAGCGTCTCGCCCCGTGGACGACCTAGCCGTACACCGCGCGTGGGAGACGTGGTGCTAGTCCACAGTGAGAGGCCGCGCGGCCGGTGGCCTGTGGCGCGAGTGACGCGGCTGCTGGCGGGGCCGGACGGCCACGTGAGGGCCGCCGTCATCAGCCTGCGCGGGCGGAGCACTCGCCGCCCTGTCAGCCGCCTGTTCCTGCTGGAGGCGGCGGACTGAGTCGGACTGAGTCGTACCGGTGCAGTGATCGGGACGAGTTACGTCGCCGCGAACTATCGCAGAGTGCTGTGCCTTTTGTCGTATTCATCGTTCTGTTTGTTTTTCGAAATCGGTCGTGCGCTCGATTTCGAGTGGGGAGTGTGTTGTGATTAGTAGCCTCTTACCTTTTTTACCTTCACCCGTGACCCGTGTTGATGTACCCTACCTTTCCTCACCCAGTAAAACATTCCTCTATTTGCCCGCCCCTGTCCTGAATCCATCACTTTTTGTTAGTGATGTAATGCTTCCATTTTTCACCGAGCCGATTTCGTTTTGTTTTTATCCTTTCTAGTCAGTCTGGATCCATCTGTCGCCGTGTTACCGCTGCCTGTAAAGTAATAAACCGGCAGAGAAGTTGACGTTGGAATTTCAAGTTGCTAACCAGAGGAATCGGCCTGTAATTTTAGCGTATCTACCACATGGGGTGTTGACCTCAGGTCAAGGCCAGGTCAGCACCCCCAGGTCACGACGTTGGTCGAAAGAGGTCATGTCGCATATCATTCGATTCGGCAGGCCTTCCTGAGTCCATTGGTGCCTTCCCCGACTCGCTAGCTCAATTTGATCAAGAGTTATTGACGAAAAACTAATTTGACCTTGATGACGTCATAAATGACGTCACGCAAGGTCAACATTGCAAAAGTGACGCATCTAAGTTTGCAAGGAGTGCATCAAATCACGATTCTGTGTGCTTGAGATAGTTGGAGATCGTTCCCGGCGCCAGAATAGCAGTTTTCATTTTTCCCCATTGACTTATAATGGTGAGGTCACGAAAATGACCTGACCTCATATGACCTTTAGGAAAAATCCGAGATATACAAGTTGTGGGACTCATAATGGATACTAGATCCTGCAAGTTTCATTTCCCTGTGACATCTCCTCTGGCAGTGAGGGCGTTGCGAAGTTGCGACATCTGAAGACCGTGCAGAGGTTCACTTATGACGTCATAGGTCAGTGACCTGACCTGACCCAAAAATGCGGTTGGTGTCAAAAGATGCGGCTTGGATCAAAGGTCAGGTATGCCAAGTTTCAGCTCTCTATCGCCAGCGTGTTCGGAGCTATCGCGAAAAAACCCTATGGGGGGGCGGCACCCGCCCCCCCCCCTCGGCCGGCGAGGGTTAAAGTTTACTCAAAGCCGGTGTGGCTGAGGCACTTTTCGCTACATCTCGTGACGGCCACCATTGTGTTGCATTTTTCGGTAAGCTATAAGTTAATAAGGAAAGGATTGGTGAGTGGGTTGAAAACAGCCCTCACCCTCCACCGAGATGTTTCTTCTGGAAACATTTACTTATGTTTCTTCTGGAAACATAAGTAAACGAAAGATCTGGCGATGGTTTATCCACTCTCCTCTGCCGCCGCGCTGCGAGGCCTCGATTCGATCGGTATGTGGCTTCCTGAGCGGTCCTCCCCGGAGGCAAGGTGAAAGGTCATGGCCTGTATCATAAATTTATACGTTGCTGAATATGTTTTATAGTTCTTCCAAGGCCTTGGACACCGTTTTATTATATCGGATAAGCATTGCACTTTCTTGTCAATCAATACATCTAAAGAAAACTTGATCATAATCTTATACTGCGGCAATTGTAGTTCTGCTTACGGTTGCCTCTTTATGATACGGGCCACCACCACCTCCACTGCGCTGGAGCTCTGGCGTTCTACCCCTCCCCGCTACGGACCGGCCCTCGGGCTAGGTGTGTTAGTACTGAGCGCAAACCTGTAGTAGTCACGTGACTTTCATTCACGTAGCGGGAACGGAAGCTATAGGCGATACCAAGGACGGGCTCTGGGGAGGCAACCGGCGCGGAAAAATAGCACGATTGTAGTTTTGGAAGAATATCTGTTGCGGTAAGAGGAATCATACAAAACAAACGTCCTAGGAGCAAACATGTGTTATTCCTCCATACTTTGCGCTACATTTCATTTCTCCAATGGCCAGCACTTAGCAAATAATAGCGCAATTCTAAATTGGTAATATATGTGTACAGTAGCAACTGCGGGTCCCTGTACCTACTTCGTTAAATTTTCGATTCTCGCTAAGTTGCCGTTTCGTCGTTGGAATAGAGTTACGCGGCAGCATATTGGGGCTGCGAGCCACCGTCCAAAAGCAACTTAAATTGTCAACAGCAATGCAAAGAAGTCTGTTATTGCTCAGAGCTTGCTTTTTGAAGAATTAACAAGTGATACAGTACGTTAATTCAGTGGCGGCGGAATAGGGGGTGCAGGGGGTGCAGGTGCACCCCCATCGAAAAACATGGGGGTGCAAACATATGTTTTTGCACCCCCAAAATCCGTACAAGGGGCCCGTCGCACCATCCAATACATTTCTCCTGAAAACCAGTGATCGGGAAACGAACACTGATGTGGAATCATCCGGGATGTCCAATTATGGTCAGGAACGCCCCGTGCTAGTCTTTGGGGCCCCCACACCGGCTAGAAGTGTCCCGAGCCGCGTTTGGTGCTCCACGCGGCATCTGAGGGCCCCACGACGGCCTCAGATGGCCCTTTTATGACGATCTCTGAGGGCTCCCACTTGAGGGCTTTGTCCCCTGGGGCCCTATAACGACCACTAAGGGCCCTCAAGACGACCGCTGAGCAGGGGCGGATCCAGAAAATCTCCAAGGGAGGGGCCATTAGAAACCAGGAGGCCCCCCCCCATAATCCCACCTGTTGGAGGCCCCATCTTCCCACTTGTTGGCCCCCCCCCCAAAAAAAACTGCGTCTATTGAGCTTATCTAGCTGTTCAGGCAACATCTCAACATCTGTGCAGGCTTGGAGGCCCTCTGTGCAGGTTAGGAGGCCCTGTAAAAGTGGTCATCTCTGTGAGTATAAGAGACCTCCAAGTTATGAAAAGCTTTACCAATCTTCTAACAAAGAAGTCTTCTCAGCTAGTCTTCAAAGAAATAACTAAGTGGGTAGGTTAAAAAAAAACTCATCGGATTTCGGCCACTTTATTTTCAGGAGGCCCCCTTTTCAGCTTTTTAACTTTTTAACTTTTTATTTTATTTTTGAAAAAAAATCGGCCAAGGGGGGGCCATGGCCCCCATGGCCCCCCCTTGTATCCGCGCCTGCCGCTGAGGGTCCCACAGGACTCCAGGGGCCCCACTGGCCTCTGAGGGTCTCTACGACGGTCTCTGAGGGCCCTTGTGACGGCCCTAGACCCAAATCAAGTCTGAGGGCCCATTTGGCTTCAGACGGCCCATAAAGACCCTCAATATGGCCAAGGACCCTCATGACGACCTCTGATGATCCTCTCGAAGGCATCTAAAGGCCCTCACAACAACTTCTGAGGAACCCAGGACGGTCCCTGAGGGGCTGCGGGCCCTGACGACGACCTCTCTGGGCCCTCACGATGGTCTCTAAGACCCAACGCAAGCTCCAAAGGCCCACACTGCCTGGCGTCTGAGGGCCCCACGACGGCCTCTGAGGGCCTCGACGCAGGCAGGCTCCAGAGGCCATGCTGACCTCTGAGGGCCCTCTTGACGGCTTCTAGGGCCTAACGAAGGTTTCAATGGCCAACGCTGGCCTCTGAAGAACCCTACGACGGCCTCGGAGGGCCTCAACTCAACGCAGGCAGGTGCCAGGAGACATGCTGGCCTCTGAGGGCCCCGCAGAGTTCAGATTCAGAGGATCCAACCACCTTTGTGGACCTTACGAAATACGAAGGTCTCCGAGAGCTCACGCAGGCTCCTGGAATTCGGCCACACTGATTCTCAGGCCCCATGTCGGCTTGTTGAGGCACTTTATCTGCTCTTGGTGCCCCGTCGCCAACCTCTGAGAGTCTCAATGTCGGAACTTATGGGGCCATGGGCCCTACACCGGCTTTTATGGCCCCTACATCGACTCTTGGGACTCATGACCCATGAAATGTGGGTCTAAGCGGCTTCTAGGAATCCCCATGCTGGTTCTAGTAGCCGCCAGCCGAATATTAGGGCTCACACGCGAGCTCCTGGGACCCCGTGCATACCCCAGGGGTCTACCTGCCTCTAAGACCCCACACATACTTTTGGGGCTCAAACGCTTGCCCCTGAAGGCCCCACTGACACTGAGACCCCTTTCCTCTATTCAGTCCTCCATACCAGCTCTTTAGGCTAAACATCAGCTCCTGTGGCCTCCATCCCGGCTTTGGAGGGCCTCCACATACAGGCTTTTTTGAGGTCCGATGCCGGTTTCTGAGAGCTCTCAAAAGACTTTCGAGCCTATACTGCCTTCTGAAACCTTTCAGCAAATTTCAAGGGACCGACCCTGATCGGAGGGTTCATTCAGTCTGGGGAGTCATGTAGGTCTCTGGAGGAGTCTCTATGTGGTCGGTTTCCAAGGGGCTTCTAAACACGGTCTTCTTGGAACGGTCTCGTAGGGCCCTCAATGGTCCACTGCGGATCCAGAAAAAGTGGTTTGAGACGCTGCGGGTGGTGGCTAGACTAAAAGATTAGCCGATAAAAACTAGCTGCATTTGCATCTTTATTAGTGATGTCAATTACGGAAAATCGGAATACCGATACCAAACCAAATACCAACCAAAACCACGGGAAAATACCGAAACCAAACCAACTTGGGAAAATGAGGGAAATACCAACTTATTACCGATTTCTTAGCCTCTTATACATTAGTGAGGGTTAATGATACCAACAAAATACCAAACACATTACGATTGAAATACCAAATACCAAGTTGGTATCGGTTTGGTATCGGTATACCAAAAAGTTGGTATCCGATTGACATCTCTAATCTTTATGCTTTCATTATTTGAGACAGGTAGGTACACTGCAATTTCAAACCTTTTACAGAACTCGTGTGTATGGGGAGAGTTTTCCAAACTCTTCGTTTTTCATAAATCAATAAAAATCAGTAAAAAAAAAACTGAAGGGGCCCAAAACTTCCAGAGGGGCCCCTTGAGAAAACTTTGCACCCCCATCCAAAATTACCTTCCGCCGCCACTGACCACGAGGGAAAATTGCTCCCTCGGGGCCATCAGCGGGCTGCAGAGCCGGCCAGCGGCACCATTTCGCTGCACCGCCGCCGGCCGCCACCGGCCACTGTTGCACGCCGGCGTACGTCCGGAGCTATTTACTGTTTATTATCGTACATCCCACTTCGCCGTAAATGTCAATCTCGCCAGGTTCGTCCATTTCGGCTGCAGCGCAGCATGGTATATTGATTTAGGTCGGGCTCAGCCGCAGCAGAGCCTGAAATCTTTAGATGTCATGCAGATTGTATCCAGGTTGAATTCCCTTAAGCCCGTGTTCTACTCTCGGTAGAGCCTGTCTAATCGCTCCGAGAAGAGTACGGCTCTTCCCCGTACAAAGTCCGACTCTTGCTCTATGCAGTTCAGCCCTTACCCCACGGAGAGTCCGCTCTTCCTAAATCCGACATAGTCCGCCGCCTTCCCCCTTGTAGTCCACCTTCACAACTACCCACCTCAGTGGAGGTTAGCTCCTATTCTCGGTTAGAGCCTGCTCCTCCTCGCTCGACCTCACTCCTGCCCGGTTAATTCCGCCCCCTTCCCTGTAGAACCCGCCACCTTCCCTGTAGAATCCGCCTCCTTCGCCTTAGGATCCGCCTCCTTGCCCCTCCCCCTCCCCCCTCCCTCCGGTAGACCCCGGCTGCTCGGCACGTCGGCACATCGATCGCGCGCGGTTCGTCGGCCGGCAGACACCGCCGCCGACGCCGTCTTGCCACGTTGCAGGAGGTGCAACAGACCGGCGCAGAGAGCGGCCATTGCAGCGCCGGCTGCAAGCTGCGCCGCAGGCCGCCCGACGGCCTAAGATAATTAGCGTAAACAAAGGAAACGCCAAGATGCAGAAAAAAACATGGTAGAAAAAGGAAATTATTCGGCTACATTCATTTGCACTGAAAATCTAGGACATGATCGTCGCAGAACAGTTCTTTATAGGCATTAATTAATCAGCGATATGTATTATACTCGTATAAGCTACGAATTTCCGGAGTCTAATTACCCGTTTTGGCATCCTCATGAATTAAATCGACCAAACGTAACTGCTGCTGGAACGTTGAAATTATGCACGACCTTGTCATGAGCTGGAAGTGTTCTGACCAAGCGAATTACGTGCACGTCTGGGGTCGGTCAGCCAGACCTGTCATGATCCACGCCGAATTTCAGTGAGATATCGGGCCGATCTGGTCGGAGCGCGCGCCAGCTGCCCGTCATGAGGACGCGCTCTGCCGGCTCTCGGCGGGTCGTGAACCCCCCATGGAGACGGTCAATACACTGCGCCGCTGGCCCGACACCCCGCCAACGGACAAAGGAACCGTGCAGTCTCCGCTTTTTAAGCTGGTGTCTACCGTCTAAATATCGCCTTGTTAGTGGAGTTTAAGCAGGAGTAACACCGCTAAGTGGTCTCATAAACTTCTTACTACACTACCACCCTAACATCGATATATTACGGCATTAGCAAGATTGTCGCTATTTGTCTGGCTGAAGAAACGAAGTTAAAAAGGATTTTACAGCGAATTCTGAGCGTCCCAGTCCCCTCTTCCGGCTTCTGAAACTGAAAGCCTGTCGCGGCTCATCCCCACAACACGAGGTAGCCGGTTCACAGAATAGGGCTTCGCACGGAAGCGCAGGCTTAGAGCCGACAGAAAATCGTCTACTGTGGAGAATGCATACAGAATCAATGGAATTTCGGCAGCATTAACTATCAACTGTGCATTGTGCAGAGCAGCAGGCCCGAATAGTGGCTACTACTATACCTACCAAGTCAAAGTAGGTATACCTACCGGTGTGACCTCAATCGCCAATCACCTTCGGACGGTGGTTCGACGGCCTCCCCCACCGACAGTTTAGCGGCCGACGGTTAATTATTCACCTACTACGGCTGCACGGTAGCGAATCAATAGCTCGGTCGTGCCCAGGAGTGAGTAGGATGTAGGATGACCGCCTGTCACGTCGCCAATGCACCGATGACAGGCACTCAAGCATGACCGGTATCTTAGTGGGACCGATGCTGGAGGTCCTATTCAGTGAAATGAAATGAAATGCAGTGAAAAACATTCGTATATAAATATCAAACCATTAGTGTATAGGCCCGGGCAGCGCTTGTCGAACAGCACTGCGGATCCAAAAGTTGGGACGTGAACTCCGCCAGGCGCCAGCCCGCCGCAAAACGCGCAAAACGCACGCCCAAAATGCCAACGCAAATGTCGCAAAAAATAAAACGCCCGCCCGCCGCAAACCGAAAAAACGCAAAAATTCCGAAAAAAAATCAAAACCGCCTAGCTCGCACGCACGCCAACCGCCAATCAAAAACGCCTACAAATCGCCCACCCGCGCAAAACGGATACAGCGCAAAAAAAAACTAAAAAAAAAAACGCGCAACCGCCGCCAACCGCGAAAAACTCCACCGCAAACGACGCAAAAAAGAAAACCGCCCGCGCCCCGCATCGTCCGCCCGCCCGCCGCCAACCGCAAAATGCCGCAAAAAAACGGCCGCCCGCCGCAAACCGCAAAACACCGCAAAAAGCGGCCGTCCGCCGCAAGCCGCAAAATACCGCCAAAAACTCAAACTACAAATGCCTGTATGACTCTTTAGTGCCCTGGCCTGTATATGCCCCGAGGTTCCTTATCAGTGCTGCCAGGTGGAGAAGGCTGTAATCCTCCAGATCAGTTTCACAAATCCTCCAGATTCCTCCAAATCCCATTGGCGGATCCAGAAAGGCGGTCTTGGACGCTGCGGGGGCATACCTACCCCCAAAAAAGTTTCTCCAAATTCTAAAAACTCATCGGATTACGATTCCTTTTGCACTGCTGTGCAGTTTAAGAGATACTTTTATCTAATAAAATTTAAGTTTTCGTTTTATCCTCGAAAAAACGAAAACTTTCGTCGATTTCGGGCGCTGCAGGGGGGGGGGGGGGGGGCATTTGCCCCAAATGTCACCCTTAGTTCCGCCAGTAGTTCGGTACCCTCACAAACATACGGCACAATCGTACACGAAGTAGGAGGAACAAATAGTCACCATGTTATTCGTAGATACTAGATTTAGCTACAGACTGAGACATTCCAGTCTCACAGTGATAAAGGGCGAAGATATATCCTAACGGGTAGGGTGACGCTGGGCAGGAATATGCCTTTTGAGTCTTGAATGTGTTATATTTTTCCATGAAATTGAGCATAATAATCGGGCGACAAATCCTCCAGATTTTCCTCCAGAATAAAAAATCCTCCAAAAGCGAAATTTGTCCGCAAATAGAGTTCAAAATCCTCCAGATTTGCGGAAATCCTCCAAATCTGGCAGCACTGTTCCTTATCAAAAGAAGAAAGCTTGCACGTGTTTACAAAATACCGTAGTGACATCACGAACATAAGATCGATGATGCTTTTATATTTCAATTTCACACTTTTCTTACAAACAAACTGCTATATTAATTATCATTTATTATGGATTTATTGTAGTAGAGTTTATAAAAATGGATTTTTCCTAATATCTAGTAAAAAACATATTATTTCTGCTTCACAAGATACAAATTCAAGGTCATGAGTGTTTACAAACATTTATGAAGTCTGCGCTTCTCGGGGTGCACCGTTCGCTGTTTTGGGGCATTTTTCTTCCATTCTTCCGTTCTCGGATAAGGTAAGCAGCAACATAAAATGCAACAATTCTCCGAAACGAAGCTCGTTCAAAATCCATGCCTGCAAGATGAGATTGCACTTCGCAAACAATAGACGCGTTTACATAGGGTTCGTTGCAACTTGCAAGCTTATATCTCCGTCCGTGATGTTGCAAAAGATGCCAATGGTGCTGAACAATTAACAAAATGATCCCCTCTAAATATTTGAAGACCACAGCATCGAAATTATCGTCAAATTAACGAGCTAGAGCCTCGGCAAATATGCCAAATATGCTATGTAAACCGGGTTAATGTCGCTGCGCTGCCTCGCTGTTTTATCTCAATCTGAATCTTGTCACTTTTGCCATCAAACCAATCAACCAGGCATCATTCCATGGCTCACATGATTCATGAAACTGATATGTTGAGCGGGCGAACCCGAACGCATAGGTAGGTATATTTGGCGAATTCAATGGTGCGCGACGCGCGTGTCTGTTGACCGGTGTCTGGTGGACGTCATATACCCACTTGACTTTGTGTCCGACTGTAGTGTATCAGATGATGGGTGATGGGATCAGAAGCATGGGTGGAGCTTTTCCAGGGAAGTTGGTGGGGAAAAAAGTTGTCAAACCTGCAACGTCCGATTTTTAAGTTAGATGAATTACACTGAATGTACAACACTGAATCGATTATTTTCATTACAGAGATAATATTTTGCATTACACAGACATTTCAAAGCTCCTCAACGCGAAGACGATTGGTTTGCTAGGCAACAAAGTCCTACAAATCAGCTTGAGTTGGTGGGGCAAAACGCTTATTGGTGGGGAAATATGGCAAGTTGGTGAGGCAGCCGCCCCACCAACTGAATAACTAAGCTCCGCCCCTGAGATTAGGATACCTATAGAAGTTTTGGGCTGGTTGTTATTTTATCACCTTTGACTGGTTGGAAACTTTGAGGATGACATTAGCTTCGACTGATTACAGTTAACAATGCATGTACTATTGGTCTCAAGATAAGGGCCCAGCCTGGGCCCGCCAGGCGACCTGTAGTTTTGATGAGGTGAATATCCTTACCCTCGCCACAGCTCGGGCCGAGTGCACCCAGCTCCTCCCACCCAGCGCCAACCCCACTCGAGGTGTGGCGAGGGTGAGGGTATTCACCGCATCCGAACTACAGGTCGCCTGGGCCCTTATCTTGAGACCACTACTAGTACCTACTAGACCTACTAGACACTGAGACTTCTAGTACTAGTACTAGTACTAGTACTAGTAGTACCAACGCCACGACAAAACAAGCCGATTAAGTCATTTAGTTAACCATGAAAAGCACTGTTGCCCGCTGGGTACAACACATTAGAAATTACAATGACAGGTATGCATGTTCAGGTAGCATATATGTATTTTATGTTCGAACTGTTGTAAATGCCTACCTTCCGATAACCTGACATCATTTATCAATCACGCTAATGTGATGGAACAGGTGACCGACCAAGTTGAAATAACGCATCATACCCCCCAGCTTCAAATGAATTGGATCAAGTACAACCAGCCGAAGAAGTTGGACAGACGCAGGGTGGACCACGCCCCCGCCCGGCCGTCAGTGCAGGCCTGCCCGGCGCCCCGGCCCGGCGGGTCCGGCGGCTCCAGGAGGACGGCCACCTGGAACCGCAACCCAGACGTGTTTAGACTGCAGCTCGCGCGTCGAATGGCGCACCCTGTGCCGCGTGGCGAGCAGCACCACCAGAGCCGTCGGCAGCCGGAGGCGGAGACCCCGGTGGCGAGGAGGCCGCCGACAGCCGGCAGGCTGTTCGCCTCCACACCTAAATCGCCGGCTGAGGGGCAGACGGCCGGCGGCAGCAACTGGCCCGAGCGGTCGCCGCCGCACCCGGCCACCGCCAGCGAGTCTTCCCTGGATACCACCGGCCGCAGTCTGCTCTTCCCAGATACATTTCCCGGGGCCACCGGCCCGACCCCGGCCCCGGCCGAGTTCCACCAGCTGTACGGAGACGGGACGGAAGAGCTCGCACAGCAGTCCCACACCATCGAGGACCAGCAGCACCAGCACCAACAGCACCAGCACCAGCACCAACATCCCTCGGGAGATAAGCAGCGGCGCCGTCATCACTCGGGCTACGAACGCGAGCGTCAGCAGTTGATCAGCCCAGAACATACCACAAGAGCACGACTACCGCTAGGACGACGTGCTGAAGCGGTCCAGGAGCACGAGCAGCAGCAGCTGCTCAGCCCGAACCGAGCCGCTAGAGCACGGCTCCCTCGTGAGCGGCGCGCTGAGCCTGACCAGGAGTACGGACGTCATCAGCCGCTTAGCTCACACCCCGCTACTGGAGCACGGCTCTCTCAACAGCGGCGCCCCGTGCCGGACAAACAGCAGTGTCTAAGTCCAGACCGAGTTTCTGGGACTCGACTGCTTCAGGAGCGGAGCGCAGAGCCGGAGTGGAAAAGTGGCACTGGCGATGGGCGCCGCCCGCCGTCACGCGGTGACGATGGGCTCAGTGAGGAACGCCAGGAGTGCCTGCCCAGCACGCCGCCCGGCGCTCGCTGGCCGCCTCAAGAGGAAGACATCCCTACTGTGATAAGACCGAGACCGACCGACGGTCCGGCGGCGCCCTCAGATCCAGCGCCCGGCCCCGGGCGGAGACTGGAAGATATAATAGAGGAGCTCCTGTACGTGCCGACCAACACCCACTGCACCATCGAGCGGGAGATGAGCGACCCGCTCTACTGGCGGGCCGTGTTCCCCCGGCGCCGGGTCGGGCTGTTCTCACCAACTGGCGTGGAGCAACAAACAGAGCCTGACGCACACAGTGCCGGGCCTATTGCAGCTGTGCAGCGTACCGACCCCGTCTGTGCTGAGGCTACTGAGCGGCCGGCGCCTGTCGAATCGCCCCAACGGCCGCCGCCTGTGGAATCTCCTCGGCGGCCGGCGCCTGCCGTACGCGCCCCCGGCCCTGACGGCGACGTTCGGCCGTGCGTGCCGAGCTGGCCGGCCGCCGAGAAAGCTGCCTCTCCGTCTGGGGGTCGGACAGACCGTCCCGGTCGACAGGTATTCGACGACCAGTGGCGTCTGATCGCGGACGGCCGGCTCCGGCGCCGCACGGACGGCCGCCCGATGGAGCCGCCGGCCACGCCGCGCCGGCTAGTGGTGGAACTGGCCGACGCCGGCGTGCAGACCGACTCACCACACCCGGTCTGTGTGCAGACCAGCTCGGTCTCGGTGCAAACCAGCCCGGCCGCCGGCGCACCGTGACGAGCCGCTGCACGGAGCCGGCGGCTGATGGGGTGCGTCGCCGGTCACCCGAGGACGCCCACGCCACTCTAGCTGAGCTCCTCCCCAGGCTATCGACACTCAGCCCTCTGTCAGTCCTTTGTAGACACATCGCGGTTCACGGCTCTCCATTCACGTTCGGTCAGCTGGCCATCAGCTTGTTTTCGCAGCCGGCTGAGGCACGCCGGAAGCTGAGTGATTGATTATACACATCCCCGTGCAGGGCCACGGCGCAGCGGCTGCTCTCCCTCCCTTCCCCTTCAGGACATCTGCAGAGCACGTGGGGACGGGAGTGACGTCGGCCACTCGTGGAATGGCGGAATGGGGGCGGGGTCGCAATACTTTGTCATGTGTATATTTGATACTTGTCATCGTTGTGGAAGAGGTGTGCAAAGAAACTCTCTTTGTACTTGATTAGAAAAGAATACGTTTAAATATTCGTGCGGAAAGTAACACTGTTCATGTTTCGTTTCAGCTGCTCAATCGTTATGTGAGCGTGTGTGAACTCAGTTGTGCTCTTCCACTGTCGCACCGTCCCGTGTGTGCGGCAGGTGCGATGTCTGGCGGCGGCGCGATGCCCAGTGGCGGCGGTGCGGCCGGGGACGCTCCCCAGCTGGACCGAGTGGTGGCCGACCTGGAGGCGGCCGCCCGCCAGCTGGACGCCGCCCTGGACGAGGTGGCCCAGCTGAAGGCGCGTGCCGCCTCCGTGGCGCTCCAGCTGACGGCCCAGTTTGACCCGGAGCTGACCGTGCGACTGGAGAGGCTCGAGGCCGAGCGGAGCCGAGCAGCGGCCGCCGTCGGTCAGCCGGCCGCCGGGCAATGACGCCGAGAACGGCGATACAGACCTGTCCTACCGAGCTGGCTGTCAGTGTCCAATGTGAGTAGACTGAATTATGTGTTCAGTGGAGTCCGTTGACTCGTTGTGGTTCCGTTGCGCCTGGGGCCCCGTGTTGTGTTGTCTCGTGTCTCTATAAATGATGCACATTCGCACTGTGTCGTCTGACAGATCCCACTCACCGCTGTCACATTGGCCGGGCTAACGGCCCCGGGACACGGCAGCCGGCCGGGCGTCACGCGCCGCTCGCCGCCCTCTCACGCACCGGCCAATCATCGACCGGGCCCGACACGCACCCGGCAGTACGGTGGGAGGGGAGCGGGTGCGACCGCAGACCACAATAGGAAGGACGCGCCGCGCCCGTACCGGCTGCGGCCATCGCCGAGACGCCGGCGGCGCCGTCCTGCAGAGCGTGTATTCGTGGCACGTTCCGATGTGCAGCCGCTACTACAGCGGTTACTACTGAGCGAGCGCCGACGGCCGTTACCATCTGTTGCTGTCGCCGGCGACGGGCGCCGCACGGAGAGGGTGGGATGCGGCCGGCTCCCGGCGGCGGGAGACGGCCAACGACAGATGGTGGAGCACGCACCCGGCCGCCCCCGCCGGAACCGGCGCGGCGCGGGGCTGAATAAGGGAGCTCTGGTACGGTCCTGAAGCGAGCAGAAACCGGAAGTACGAAGCCTAGGAAGGTAATATAATCCGCACTTAGCAAAATCTCCTTTGAAAAACGGTTGGTTTTGGAACTGAAACCGATAAGGACAATCAGCTAATGTCCTTTCTTCAATGCGCATTCGTTCATTCATCATTTGTGTCCGTTGTACTTCCCCAAATTGCAACAGGGGGAGGTTGCAAGCAACATTGCATTGCTTCTCACCATGCAATAAACATCGTCCATCTGCAATGGATCATGATTATCTGCAATGGATCATGATCACCATGCTCGGCTAGCAGAGGAATCCCAGTTGCATTTCCGTTCACGGGACGGGACTGGGGAGTGGTGCGGTGCAGGACAGGACGGTCCAGTGTGGTGACCGCCGGGTCAGTAGGGGAGGAAGTGGGACGGAGCGGACAGCGCGGTCACCGACCGATCCCCGCCCATCAGTCCCATCCGGTGGTCGCCAGCGGCCGTGACGCCCCTCCGTGTCGGTGAGCTCACTAACGCGGGGGTGGTGGTGTAGGCACAAGTTTTGGCCGCGTGACCAATGTAAGCCTTTGAAGTTCAAACGGAACGACTGCGTGTCCTTGTGACTCACTCAGGGTCTGAATGGCACGCCACTCTGGTTATTGACAAGTGCCTGAATCCCGCACATAAAATGGCCACAACTGGCCAGATTTGAAGGCAAGCAGTTCTTCAATTGCACTTCAGGTATTGTGATTCTACAAAGCTCTGATCGATTAGAAAAGCAAGCTTTGTTGATTACTCTTCAGTCCGATCAATTTTACAGTTGCCGACACGAGGCGAATCGATGCAGCCCCTCAGCTACATATTTCGCGAGAAGGAGTATTTGCAGAACTGCTGGAAGTAGCGGACTGTTTCTGAGCACAGCATCCCTTGCCAAACTCGGAAACTTTATGTTGCCGTCACGTCGGCTGACTAGGTTATGAATTGTTACTACGCCATGGCCTGGTCATTTATCTCGCACATGACATACGGCGACGTAAAGCCGAATTCGGTTGAAGCGAATAACGCGTACGAACTGCATTTTAGCTCTCCACTCTCCAGCGAATTTTCGTTGAAAGTCTAAAACATGATTGATATTTGATGGCACTGAACATCGGGTCGAACCCTAATGTGCTGTCGATAGCAGTGCTGAGGACGGGTGAGCTATACACCTTTGGCATTGCCGATGCGAAGGGCAGCCCAAGTGATAAACCAAAGCCGAGAATAGAATCCGTTTTAATTGTCCCGTGGGATCGCAGCGGCTTTAATCTAATGAAATCACAGCTAGAGAAATGGCAAATCACGGGTCTCATGGGCTTTAGAGTGACTCATTGAGCCACTGCGGCCAGCCTAGGAGACTCGTGAACCCTGTGATACACCGGTCTGACATTTCCCAGGGGACGAGCCGAGACAGACCTCGCCTTTCAGCGGGCCTGTCACTCGCCGGCAGTCCTGGTGATCCGTGCCAGCAGCCTCCCCTCCCCACCGCGCCGGTGGCTGCCCCAAACTGTTGCGGAAGTGGCACGTTATACACACTGGCAGGTAGCAGTGACCCGCTGGCTGCTACTGAGTAAGATAGCTGCAGTGGCGAGCCGGGTCGCCCCGACCACCCACACACTACCCGCTAGCGGCGGCACAGTTTGTTTGGAATGGACTGGAGAGCGGTCGTAAAGGGGTGAAACAACCCGCCGAGGCCACACGCGCAGCTCAGATTGTGACGGAGCAGATACATCGGTATTCAGTAGCTGTAAGTCTACAGTGGAGCTCACTGGAAATACAATGGCAATCCGCAACTCGGCGGCGACTGAATGAGGCTAGATGAACAACAGCCATTTATCAACACGACAATGACGGAGGCTAACCAGCCACTGCCGGTACACAAGCGGCCGTGCAGCGCGGCGGTCAGGCTGGATTTTATACGCAGCACTGCAGCCGACAACTCTCCGTTGAAGCGAACTTACTTGCCGGACCCGTTGGCATCCACGTTGAGGCGGGCCACCACGCTGCCGCCCCCTTCCAGCATCGGCGTGACGGCGCGGTTGGAGAGGCAGAGCGCCGGTTCGGCGGGCGGCCGCTGCTCGGTGTCATGGCCTCCGCCCGTGTCACCGGCCACGGCCAGAGCCGCGTCCACGCCGTCCACAAAGTCCGCCTCACTGTCTATCGAGTCCACCGTGGCCAGCGGCACACTGGCCGAGTCCATGGCTGCTGGCCGCGCGCGCGCCCGTGCCCCGCCAGCGGCCGACTGGCGCGCGGAACGCCCACCACAACAAAGGAGCGCCAGCGGCCGGCGCGCCGGCTCCACTATCGACCGGCGCCCGGCACGGCACGCGCAGCCTTTCCAGCCGGATCGGCGGCGCCTGCGAATCGATACAGTGAGCACTGAGCACTGCGCGGCGCGCGCGCGGCGGCGGCGGCCCGGCTGTCCCGGCGTTCGTCCGCTCACCGCTGCGTGCCGCCAGCAGCGCCGCCAATAAACACTGCTCCCGCGCCGGCCGAGAGGACCCGCCGAGCGGCGCAGTCGGTCCCAGAGGGTCTGCAGGGATCCGCCAGTTGGAGCCTGGCGGCGCGCAGGTCCCCGGCAGCCTCATTTCACTGGGCAATTTCCCAGAGTTAATGATCAGCGCTGGCGGCGGCCTGCTACCGGCCGGTAATGACATCGCCTGCACCCGGTGATTTTACGGCAGACCAGACAGCCGCCTACTTCATGAGGCGGAACTGCAGATCGAGACCGATTTACCTAGGTAGATGATTCTCCGGATGTCTGCCGATGAGCAAGCATTTGTTGATTGTTGAAGGAAAAATACTTTCCGCATAAGAACATGTTGGTGATGATAATTATGACGCCCTAAAATACCAAATGAATTTAAGGACTTTTATGCACTCTGCAAAGTCTGTATTATTCATCACTAGCGTGCTGCTTAAAAACGGCTCCTTTGCATGCTACGATTATATAAGGATATAATGATAGTAAAATAGAAGTTTGAGCCATACGCACTATAACCGTAAAGTTTCACGGGCGGCAGGCGGTTGGCTCCAGAGCCGAGGAAGGCCGTTTGGCGTGCTGTGGCCGTGCCATCGATCGAAGGCAGCTAGTCGGCGCGACCCGCCGCCAGCGGCTGCCGTGCGTCCGGTCGGCCTCAATGTTGTAACTCAGCCGACCACGCTGGCGTCGACAGGCAGTCTGGCCAATTGACTCGGACAGTTGGACGCCCCCGCCCCGCTCCCGATTGCAGCGGGGCGCCCGACGCGCTCCCAACAATGACCGCCCTCAATCTCGGCTGACGGGGCGGCATCGCTTCAGTTCGCGGACCGGTGGCAGGGAGAAGGGTATCTTGATGTGTGGTTTTCATAGCAGCGTCGAACCTTCTTTATCGGACACACTGACACTCACCTACAGAAATAAAATTTGCCGACTTTTTATAGGTAGGTATGCCAGCAGTCAATAGTTTTCAGAATTACATGAATTATTCCGGACCCTGAATATAATTTTAGCCCGACATTTGGGGCGGAGAGAGAGAGAGAGAGAGAGAGAGAGAGAGAGAGAGAGAGAGAGAGAGAGAGAGAGAGAGAGAGAGAGAGAGAGAGAGAGAGAGAAAGAGAGAGAGAGAGAGAGAGAGAGAGAGAGAGAGAGAGAGAGAGAGAGAGAGAGAGAGAGAGAGAGAGAGAGAGAGAGAGAGAGAGAGAGAGAGAGAGAGAGAGAGAGAGAGAGAGAGAGATCCTTACGATGGGGTGAGTGGCGGTGCAGGACGTTCCACTGGACTGGACACACAGCGGTCCGGTGTCACCTGCAACAGACGCAGAATAAAAAATTACCTCCTTTTCCAGGTCTGACCAACACAGCTGTGGAAGACCCATTCCTAGATTCCTTAGAGGCATAGTAGGTAAGTGAATCTTTTTCACTTCTGGCTATTATCGATAACAAACAGAATCGGTAAACGTGCGAAAACGGATGTTTCATTTTCAGTGTCACCTAGGCTCTATATCGTTTTATCTCCCAAAATAACCCCAAAACGTTTAAAGCATTTCTAATGCAACTATATATAACTAGATTTAACGAGTCGCCTAAGATTACTAGTTAAAAGTTTGCAATGCATTTATTAATAACGATTATAGTTTTGCTGCAGATATAGATCCGAATATCTTCTCGAATCATTAGGACCTCATTGTTTCGCCATTCACATCATCACACAAAATGTGGCAGTGTGTTAACTAAACCACAAAAGCAAACGTCCGTGAAGTTAGCGTCGTATTCCGCGACGGATTCAGCGTCGAGTCCGAATTTCAACTAAACCCAACCTATCCGATGCAGTTTGGGACGCTGATTCCGAATATCGTATTCATTTCAAATTTCAAGGTCATCTTCAAGGTCAAATCACGGATTGAAATTGAGTCCCCGATTTTTCCTACACCGATCGTCCGATCCGATTTCTGAAGGCCGCATTCGAAAGCTAGGGTCAGAATCTCGAATTCCCTAATATATACCTTATTAAAAATATTTGACCTTAAAGGTCAAATCACGGATTGAAATTTTGAGTCCCCTATTTTTTCTACACCGATCGCCCGATCCGAATTCTGATGGTCGCATTCGATAGCTAGGGTCAGAATCTCGAGTTCTCTAATATATACCTTATTAAAAATATTTGACCTTAAAGGTCAAATCACGGATTGAAATTTTGAGTCGCCCTATTTTTTCTACACCGATCGTCCGATCCAATTTCTGATGGTCGCATTCGATAGCTAGGGTCAGAATCTCGAGTTCCCTAATATATACCTTATTAAAAATATTTGACCTTAAAGGTCAAATCACGGATTGAAATTTTGAGTCCCCCTATTTTTTCTACACCGATCGTCCGATCCGATTTCTGATGGTCGCATTCGATAGCTAGGGTCAGAATCTCGAGTTCCCTAATATATACCTTATTAAAAATATTTGACCTTAAAGGTCAAATCACGGATTAAAATTTTGAGTCCCCCTATTTTTTCTACACCGATCGTCCGATCCAATTTCTGATGGTCGCATTCGATAGCTAGGGTCAGAATCTCGAGTTCCCTAATATATACCTTATTAAAAATATTTGACCTTAAAGGTCAAATCACGGATTGAAATTTTGAGTCCCCAATTTTTTCTACACCGATCGTCCGATCCGATTTCTGATGGTCGCATTCGATAGCTAGGGTCAGAATCTCGAGTTCCCTAATATATACCTTATTAAAAATATTTGACCTTAAAGGTCAAATCACGGATATTCGACCTTAAAGGTCACATCACGGATTGATATTTTGAGTCCCCAATTTTTTCTACACCGATCGTCCGATCCGATTTCTGATGGTCGCATTCGATAGCTAGGGTCAGAATCTCGAGTTCCCTAATATATACCTTATTAAAAACCTTAAAGGTCAATATATATACCATAGGGTCAGTAGGCATGGCAGTAGGCAGTAGGCATGGCGACATGCCTACTGCCGGTGTCACGCCCGACTATGCGGTTCCGGTGCGGAGTTTGATTTATCTTGCACTCATGGTTGATGGCCTATTTGACGCTACTGGCATCTCCCTAACCTCTAACAAATAACATGTCTACTTTACTAATTTATTAACTGTGACTGTCCCTGTTCCTATTCCCTGCCCGCCAGTAGCGCCACCTGTATATGAACTTGCACCTCATCATGTTCACTGTTTGCAATATACCGCCGGTGGAAACCGGTCATGGATTCAAAAATATTTGACCTTAAAGGTCAAATCACGGATTGAAATTTTGAGTCCCCAATTTGTTCTACACCGATCGTCCGATCCAATTTCTGATGGTCGCATTCGATAGCTAGGGTCAGAATCTCGAATTTCCTAATATATACCTTATTAAAAATATTTGACCTTAAAGGTCAAATCACGGATTGAAATTTTGAGTCCCCTATTTTTTCTACACCGATCGTCCGATCCGATTTCTGAAGGTCGCATTCGATAGCTAGGGTCAGAATCTCGAATTCCCTAATATATACCTTATTAAAAATATTTGACCTTAAAGGTCAAATCACGGATTGAAATTTTGAGTCCCCTATTTTTTCTACACCGATCGTCCGATCCAATTTCTGATGGTCGCATTCGATAGCTAGGGTCAGAATCTCGAGTTCCCTTTATATACCTTATTAAAAATATTTGACCTTAAAGGTCAAATCACGGATTGAAATTTTGAGTCCCCTATTTTTTCTACACCGATCGTCCGATCCAATTTCTGATGGTCGCATTCGATAGCTAGGGTCAGAATCTCGAGTTCCCTAATATATACCTTATTAAAAATATTTGACCTTAAAGGTCAAATCACGGATTGAAATTTTGAGTCCCCTATTTTTTCTACACCGATCGTCCGATCCAATTTCTGATGGTCGCATTCGATAGCTAGGGTCAGAATCTCGAGTTCCCTGATATATACCTTATTAAAAATATTTGACCTTAATGGTCCAATCACGGATATTCGACCTTAAAGGTCACATCACGGATTGAAATTTTGAGTCCCCCGATTTTTCTACACCGATCGTCCGATCCGATTTCTGAAGGTCGCATTCGATAGCTAGGGTCAGAATCTCGAATTCCCTAATATATACCTTATTAAAAATATTTGACCTTAAAGGTCAAATCACGGATTGAAATTTTGAGTCCCCCTATTTTTTCTACACCGATCGTCCGATCCAATTTCTGATGGTCGCATTCGATAGCTAGGGTCAGAATCTCGAGTTCCCTAATATATACCTTATTAAAAATATTTGACCTTAAAGGTCAAATCACGGATTGAAATTTTGAGTCCCCAATTTTTTCTACACCGATCGTCCGATCCGATTTCTGATGGTCGCATTCGATAGCTAGGGTCAGAATCTCGAGTTCCCTAATGTATACCTTATTAAAAATATTTGACCTTAAAGGTCAAATCACGGATATTCGACCTTAAAGGTCACATCACGGATTGAAATTTTGAGTCCCCCGATTTTTTCTACACCGATCGTCCGATCCGATTTCTGAAGGTCGCATTCGATAGCTAGGGTCAGAATCTCGAATTCCCTAATATATACCTTATTAAAAATATTTGACCTTAAAGGTCAAATCACGGATTGAAATTTTGAGTCCTTTAACCTTTAAGGTGAAATATTTTTAATAAGGTATGTATTAGGGAACTCGAGATTCTGACCCTGGCTATCGAATGCGACCATCAGAAATTGGATCGGACGATCGGTGTAGAAAAAATAGGGGGACTCAAAATTTCAATCCGTGATTTGACCTTTAAGGTCAAATATTTTTAATAATGTATATATTAGGGAACTCGAGATTCTGACCCTAGCTACGAATGCGACCATCAGAAATTGGATCGGACGATCGGTGTAGAAAAAATAGGGGGACTCAAAATTTCAATCCGTGATTTGACCTTTAAGGTCATATATTTTTAATAAGGTATATATTAGGGAACTCGAGATTCTGACCCTAGCTATCGAATGCGACCATCAGAAATTGGATCGGACGATCGGTGTAGAAAAATAGGGGGACTCAAAATTTTAATCCGTGATTTGACCTTTAAGGTCAAATATTTTTAATAAGGTATATATTAGGGAACTCGAGATTCTGACCCTAGCTATCGAATGCGACCATCAGAAATTGGATCGGACGATCGGTGTAGAAAAAATAGGGGGACTCAAAATTTCAATCCGTGATTTGACCTTTAAGGTCAAATATTTTTAATAAGGTATATATTAGGGAACTCGAGATTCTGACCCTAGCTATCGAATGCGACCATCAGAAATTGGATCGGACGATCGGTGTAGAAAAAATAGGGGACTCAAAATTTCAATCCGTGATTTGACCTTTAAGGTCAAATATTTTTAATAAGGTATATATTAGGGAACTCGAGATTCTGACCCTAGCTATCGAATGCGACCATCAGAATTCGGATCGGGCGATCGGTGTAGAAAAAATGATGGGACTCAAAATTTCAATCCGTGATTTGACCTTTAAGGTCAAATATTTTTAATAAGGTATATATTAGGGAATTCGAGATTCTGACCCTAGCTTTCGAATGCGACCTTCAGAAATCGGATCGGACGATCGGTGTAGGAAAAATCGGGGACTCAATTTCAATCCGTGATTTGACCTTGAAGATGACCTTGAAATTTGAAATGAATACGATATTCGGAATCAGCGTCCCAAACTGCATCGGATAGGTTGGGTTTAGTTGAAATTCGGACTCGACGCTGAATCCGTCGCGGAATACGACGCTAACTTCACGCACGTCAAAAGCAAGGGATATCCAGCAGGACTTCATCCTCCATATCCATGTCATAACTTATTTCCAGTGGCGTACGCACATACAGGACATTCCGTGCATGCCCTGTCCCTTTGGCTCATCGTCCCCGGCGCCCTCAGTGACTGGCGCCCCCCTGTAGTCTGTCCAGTGTTGGCGCTCCTCCAGTCGATAGCGGCGCGCTTCTAGTTGATGGCGAAGCCCCTCTGTCCAGTATTGGCGCTCCTCTGGTGATAGTGGCGCCCTCCTAGACGATATGGTGGGCCGGTGGCACCCCTTTGTCCAGTATTGGCGACCCTCCAATCGATAGCGTCGCGCTCCTAGATGATGGTGGGTGGCGCCCCTCTGTCCAGTGTTGGCGCCCCTCCAGTCGACAGTGTCGCGCTCTTATGTAGATGATGGCGGCGCCCCTCTGTCCAGAGTTAGCGCTCCTCCAGTCGATAGCAGCGCGCTCCTAGATTATGGCGGCGCCCCTCTGTCCAGTATTGGCGCCCCTCCAGTCGACAGTGTCGCGCTCCAAGATGATGGTGGCGCCCCTCTGTCCTGTGTTGGCGCCCCTCCAGTCGACAGCAACGAGCTCCTAGATGATGACGGCGAACCCTCTGTCCAGTCTTGGTGCTCCTCCAGTGATAGCGGTGCCCTCCTAGATGATGGTGGCGCCCTTCTGTCCAGTGTTGGCGCTCCGGCTCCTCTGGTGATAACGGCGCCCTCCTAGACGATGGTGGCGCCCCTCTGTCCAGTGTTGGCGCCCCTCCAGTCGATAGCGGTGCGCTCCTAGATGATGGCGGCGCCCCTCTGTCCAGAGTTGGCGCTCCTGCAGTCGGTAGCGGCGCGCTTCTACATAGATGATGGCGGCGTCCCTCTGTCCAGAGTTAGCGCTCCTCCAGTCGATAGCAGCGCGCTCCTAGATGATGGGGCGCCCCTCTGTCCTGTGTTGGCGCCCCTCCAGTCGACAGCGACGAGCTCCTAGATGATGACGGCGAACCCTCTGTCCAGTCTTGGTGCTCCTCCAGTGATAGCGGTGCCCTCCTAGATGATGGTGGCGCCCTTCTGTCCAGTGTTGGCGCTCCGGCTCCTCTGGTGATAACGGCGCCCTCCTAGACGATGGTGGCGCCCCTCTGTCCAGTGTTGGCGCCCCTCCAGTCGATAGCGGTGCGCTCCTAGATGATGGCGGCGCCCCTCTGTCCAGAGTTGGCGCTCCTGCAGTCGGTAGCGGCGCGCTTCTAGATGATGGCGGCGCCCCTCTGTCTAGAGTTAGCGCTCCTCCAGTCGATAGCAGCGCGCTCCTAGATGATGGGGCGCCCCTCTGTCCTGTGTTGGCGCCCCTCCAGTCGACAGCGACGAGCTCCTAGATGATGACGGCGAACCCTCTGTCCAGTCTTGGTGCTCCTCCAGTGATAGCGGTGCCCTCCTAGATGATGGTGGCGCCCTTCTGTCTAGTGTTGGCGCTCCGGCTCCTCTGGTGATAACGGCGCTCTCCTAGACGATGGTGGCGCCCCTCTGTCCAGTGTTGGCGCCCCTCCAGTCGATAGCGGTGCGCTCCTAGATGATGGCGGCGCCCCTCTGTCCAGAGTTGGCGCTCCTCCAGTCGATAGCGGCGCGCTTCTAAATGATGGGGCGCCCCTCTGTCCAGTGTTGGCGCCCCTCCAGTCGACAGCGACGAGCTCCTAGATGATGACGGCGACGCCCCTTTGTCCAGTCTTGGCGCTCCTTCAGTGATAGCGGTGCCCTCCTGGACGATGGTGGTGACCCTCTGTCCAGTGTTGGCGCCCCTCCAGTCGATAGCGGTGCACTCCTAGATGATGGCGGCGCCCCTCTGTCCAGAGTTGGCGCTCCTCCAGTCGATAACGGCGCGCTCCTAGATTATGGCGGCGCCCCTCTGTCCAGTGTTTGCGCTCCTCCAGTCGATAGCGGCGCTCTCCTTGATGATGGCACCTTCCCGGCTCACTGGTGTCCTTCTGATCAGAGGGCGCCCTCCCGGCTCACTGACGTGCTTCTGACCAGAAGGCGCCCTCCAACTCACTAGCATGCTTCTTATCAGAAGGCGCCCTCACGGCTAATTGGAATGCATCTCCTCAGAGGGCGCCCTCTCGACTTACCGGCATGGTTCTGTTCAGAAGGCGCCCTCTCCACTCACCGGCGTACTTCTGATCGTAAGGCTCCCTCCTGACCCACTGGCGTGCTTCTGATCGTAAGGCGCCCTTCCGACTCACCGGTGAGGTACTTGTTATCAGAGGTCGCCCCACCGACACACTGACGTGCTTCTGATCAGAGGGCGCCCTCCCGGCTCACTGGCGTGCTTCTGGTCAGAAGGCGCCCTCCGACTTCATGAGTATGGTGTCAGTTATGGGATATGTAGAAATGCTGCAGCTCTAGTCTCTGAGAGAAGTCCCTCGTAGGGAGTTGGAAGTTTCATATTTTTTGAACATATACCTATGTCACTGTGAGAGGTGTCACTCGTGGGAAGGAAGTTTTATGAGAAATGTTCCGTAGAAACCGCCGCATCATTTTAGGAGTGAGACGTCCCTCGTGGGGAGTTTATAGTGCTATATTTTGTGGATATATGCCAAGGTGAGAGATGTCCGTCGCTGGGTGTTAGTGGTAGGTATATTTTGTAAATATACAGCACTGTGAGCAAAATACTTTGCTTTTTGTAATCGGCTATTTGATGACATGTCTTGCGAGAGCACATTTCGATTCAGTTTAAGGGCGTTTGAAGAAAAACACAATTGCTATTACATATTCGACCGCAGACGTGACGGAGATACCTACTCCTACGGAGTACGGAGTAGCGCCGATAGATAAGAGTAAAGCCGGCTCTCAGTGAGGAAATTATATTGAATGTAGCAATGCACATGACACCAGTAATACAAAATAGCAACGGAACAGTGATGCAACGCGCACCACAGACTCACCCAGAATGCTCGGCCGCGACACTTTCACGTTCGCAGTTATGAGTTATGTTCGTACCGCACGTGTACCGCTGCCTGAGGCTGATCGATGTGTACGCATATACAATGTCAGTTATGTTCGTTCTGCACGTGTACGAACATAACTGACACATTCAAGTTTCAGATATGTGGCGCCCTCCTTGTTGTTGGCGCCCTCCTTGATTGGCGCCCTCTCGTCCAATGCCCTGGTCCTTCGCAAATTCCTGGGTACGCCACTGCTTATTTCTGAATGGGCGTTATGGTCGGGAAAATGTTTCTAGCGAGTAGCGAACATTGAGGCCTGAGACCATCCGACCTGCGCGCCGCCTACCGGCCAGACACTCTAACCAATAGCTACCGGCGATGGCCGCCAGGTGGCTGACGAGTTGGCCCAGACCTTCGTCGTTCGTAACGTTTGGAAGACCGCCGCCTGTGCTGGCACAGCGTCAGCCCCGGCTCAGCAGCTGACCGCCCGGTGTGACGCTGCTCAGGTCGGGCTGGGTCCGCGTGGCCGCGAGCCAGAGCCGGTCCCGGTCCCACGGCCGCGCCCAGCCTCCAACGCCCACCAGCCGCGGCACGTGTTTACACAGAATTGTTATTTTTGGTGGCCTTATCGATACATCATAGGGTCTCCTGATTCAACTCGTACCAACATAAACGGCCAAAGGGCGAGTAAATCAAACAAACGAAGACCTAGGATTCACAACGAGGTACGCTACTTTGTTATATGTAATGTACTGAGCAGTCCCGGATATGCAGGACGATGCACTGTACCTAACTAATTATATTTATTAATCCACGCATCCACGGAGTGGTCGTTAGGGCCTGGCAGACCACATAACATAAGGTGCCACATTCCGTCTGGCCCAACTAATCTTGGCGATCATTTTTAGACGGAGCGAAAGTAATCATTCATTCGTCTAAACTCTACCCGTTTTACGAGTATACGGACCCTGCATTTACTTGTATTCCTTGTTAAGAGTGATTGGAAGGCGATCGCCGTATTATCACCTCTGTTCTCATGAGTCATGAGGTCGAATGTTTCCCGCGTCTCGCGCTCCATGGCAGTTGGACCACCGTGGATTTCCTGTCTAAGACGGAGCGACCCGAGTCAGCTCCTGCTAACCCCGCGCTATCGAGGCGCCGGAGTATCAGATGATCTGATCATCCGTCAGAGATTTTAGTGGTCTCGCCACCGAAGAGGCTGGCTTCTGTTGGTGACTGTCGCCTGTCCCATTATGTTGAAATATCTTTCGCCAATAACCCTGATATTCCAGAGATCATCAATATCGCTGACATAAGGGAACGAAACCACCAGACAATGCGTCGATAAAGGCGAGGGTTTTATCGTCTTACCTTTATGATTGACACCGGCGTCTCTCCCAGCTCGACAGTCTCGGTAGTGGTGTCTTCCATCTCGGCCTTGGGTGACGAGTTGAGTAGCTTATCCTTCATTTCCTGCAGGTACGGGTACCGCGGCATCGTCCGGTAGTAGACCGCCTGCGCTGGCCGAGAGGGGGTCGTCAGTCACTGAGCGGCACTGCCGGCGGCTAACGACACTGGCTTTCAGTCAGTCATCGGCACAGTCGGTCGCAGCTGTCGGTGTTTTCACCCACCGCACCAGCCACTGAGAGGCACTGACAGTCAGTCAGCAGCTTCCCACTGGCGATGCAGCAGGAGCATGGGGTCATGGTCCTCTCGGAAGATAGGTATATCGGTTATTTACATATATAGGGGTCGAGAGGAGGGCACTGCTTCGTTACCCTTCCCCGAAATTAAGCTCGAGATGCACGAAAAAGGACAAATCGTGCACAATTTAAAATCGCACGCTAAAACCTCGAAAATCATACCCAACTTTAAGATATAGGTACCCCCCCCCCCCCAAAAAAAAAACGGTGATATTTGCAGTCAAGTCAGTGACTCAATGGTCAAAATGCACATTTTGATATCTTATTCCGGCAAAAATGGCCGGAGAGCATCACGTCTGTCACGGTCTATCGTATTCTGTTATAATTTTTTGTTTGGGAAAGATGAACAGCCTCAGGTCAGGTCAAGGTCTGGTCATAGCCGGAAACGTCAAGGCAGGTCAAGCTGCATATCATTCGACTTAAATGGCTTCAGGTGGCCTTTCCGATTCGCTTACTCAATTTTGCCATCACAGGCTATTGACAACAAATTCCAATGACCTCAAATGACCTCAGTGGCGTAATGTAGACACGCAATTACGCAAGATCAGTTTCCATATTTTATCGGCGAGTTTTAATGTAGAATCACGTCAGATTGGTCTGACCTCAGGTGACCTGAACTGAACACAAATATGAGATAGGAACAAGGGCGCGGGAACTACTTTCAGACTGGAGGGCGCACCATGATAGAGATCAACCTAGGGTACCCCCAATTCTAGTTTTCTCGACGGTTTTAGGCCACTTATTTTTCATCCCTTGGCTTTTTCAACAGAAAAAAAAGAAAACGTTTGCAAACAAGTGTGGTATTCTGTCTCAAAGTTGTGGAGGCACCACCCCCACGGCCCTAGAGTTGGGGGGGGGGGGGGCAAGCTGCCCCCAACTGCCCCCCTCCCTTCCGGTTCCCGCGCCTATGGATAGGAATGTTGTTAATACATAGGAATTTACTTTTCGAGATTAACTTCCAGCAACAGATTCCCTTGTAGTGAGAAAGTTACTCAGTCGCGACCTTTTTGAGCCGTGCAGAGGTTTACCTGAGGTCATAGATTCATATGTCGGTGACCTGACCTAAAAATACGATCCGTGCCAAAAGATGCGGGTTAATCAAAGGTCAGCTACGTCAACATGGATACACATTGCACACTCCAACATCGGCTGCTCCCAGTTTTGGCGGCAGCTCCCCTCCCCTCCTTATCCCCCGGCTGGGGCCGCCAGTGCAGTTGCCGGTCTTCACCGACCGTTACCAGTCACCGACGACAGTTACAGAAGACAGCAGTCGCCAGCCATCGATCACAAATACCAGCAGACACGGAGCTGACAGCCAATGAGCACCGACGACATTAGTCGTGGTGTCAATGATCATCAACCATTGGCAACATCCATAGCTGGGCTTGCCATGTTCACAAGTGCGTTATCGACCTTGACTTTCTGGTAACGGTGATATCGGCGACACTGCCTTCGGAAAGAAAGATATACGGTACCTACTAGTATGTATTGATGTCTCGTGACCTCTCCAGCCTTGCTGTGCTCTCAGCTCCTCTGCCGTGCACAGGTTCACTGTATCCCATGTGTGCGCTCTAAGGAGCGTATTGATTGTTGGGCATAATGACGATACTTGCATATTGATAGGCCTATATGCAACATTGTGCAAGTCGCGCTGAAAATAGCACGGACGTATAAATAAACATTTATTTTTTATATAAACGTAAACGTTTACTTATACGTCCGTGGAAAATAGTAACCGGTGGACACTGTCACACTGGCACATGGTAGATGGCAAGTTTGAATGAATTATTGACTTAAACTTAACGCTTGAATAATTTGGCTTAAAAAGGTTCACCAAAAAATTTGAGCCAAACTTAACCCGCGCACCGACGGGGGTCTGCGCCAACTTCGCACCGACGGGGGGGGCGGATGACCGCCCCCCCCCCCTGAGATCTCGAGAACGAAGCAAGATAGCGACAAGCGGTAAACGGCATCGGATACGCACGGCCAAGATCTACAATTTTTACGAAGGTCATTTTCAGGTCAGGTCAAAGATGACGTCACAGGGGTCGAAAAAGTCAAAATGGCGGCGCTTGATATGGAGAGTTTTTTCTCGAATAACTTTCGAATTAGTCAAGATAGGAACAAACTAAGGGCATCATCGTGATCCTCTTGTCAATCCGCATCGAATGATATATATGTTGACCTCGAAAGGTCAAGGTCAAAGGTTGACCTCAGGTCACGTGACCTCGAGGTCATCATGTATATCATTCGATGCGTCTTGACGAGCTGAACACAATGAGACCATCCACGCGTCTGTATCTTGTTCCTGTACGGAGTTATTGGCCAAAAACCTTTGGTGACCTTTGATGACGTCACATGACCTCAGAGCTGCCCAACAGCAAAACAGACCTCAAGGTAGTGAAGGTTGATCGTATATGAAGTCATGTATGGTATATGGGGCCATTCCGACCCGTTTTAGTGGTAAAAACAGGGAGTTGATTTTTCCCCCATTGACTTATAATGGGGAGGTCGCGAAATTGACCTGACCTTAGGTCACCGATATCAAAATTCCGAGATATACAAATTGTAGCTACTAATGACCTAATAATATCCTGCGACTTTCAAAGGCCTCCGACATCTACTGTAGCTCTGGCACGGTGACAAAGTTGCAAAAAGTGACTTTAGGTTGGGTCATTCAAAGTGACCTGGTGACCTGACCTTAAAAGGTAGGAGGTTCAAACTTGCACACCATGTGTAAAATTGATGAGGTTATAGTCATACCAAATTTCGCGGCTTCCCGCTATTCGCGAAAAACCTCAGGGGGGGGGCGGATATCCGCCCCCCCCCCGTCGGTGCGCGGGTTAACTATCGCCGGACCTATCGATTTTCTATATATTCCACACCTCATCCGAATGTATGTACAAAACGGTTGATGGAGTGAACTTCCCCTCACCGTTTCGCCCCGAAGTGAGCTCGAGCATCGCGGAAAACAACAGCGTTGCGAAACGCAGCGACTGGTATAAGTATCAGATTTTCAGGTCTCAGATCAAACGGTGACCTTTGAGGTCATGTCAAGTGCCCCAAGGTAGGGACTCTGTTTTTGGCGAATAACTTCGCTAAACATGGTTGCAGAGCCACGATAGCATGGCACCATCGTCTTCGTCATGATCAGACGCATCCAATAATATACTTTTTTTTAGTATAGGTCAGCTTTGGATGTCGACCACAGGCCAAGATTAGCTCACAGTCTGTTGGGTCCCGAAGTTATTAACAGGAGGTTATATCGCATAAAAATTCGATTCCATGGGGCTCCTTGAGTCCATTGGTGGTTTCCCAACCCGCTGGTTCAGTTTGATCGAGATCGGCGAAATGCTCCGATAACTTTAGTGAAAAATAAAGTATCGTGACTGGTATCGGATCTTGCAAGGTGTGCAGGGAAGCACCATTCTCTGTGCTTATGGTAGCCTGCAGCTATCTGCGATATATTTCGGCGCCAAAATAAAAGCTTCCATAGTTCGCACCTTGACTTACCCCTCGCACTTACAGGAGTTCGGATGGACCCCTCCTCTGTTTTACGCAAAGAACGCGCGTAAAAAGCGACTCGATCGCAACGAAACCTCCAGCACCTCGAGTTTATCACTTGCATACATATTACATAATACATACCCTAAAAATTTAATGATCCTAAGCCCGATGACCTTTGACCTGTGACCTATTCCTCGAGACCATGTTAGAATTCGCGATTCGGCGTATGTTAGCGCACATTATCCATGCGTTTCCACACTTCTTTGTGACTATAGGTACACTTGCCAAGCCAACATGCGAAATTATGGTTGTCCCATGCACTACGGTGGGCGTCAAGGTCACTTGAAGGTCAGGTCATTGTCATTGACCCTTGGTGACCTTTCGAATTTTACGACGTTTTCAGAAGTTTTCGTAGCCGGTTTCGAATAAAGCAGCCGTTCGAACAATTGATAAGTATATTTTGGTGCCTATGAAACATGGTACGAAGCTGCCAATGGTGGTCGACACCTACTGTAGATAGCCGTCGGGACGCCTACTGATTGACCTGACCTGACTTGGCCTGACCCGACCTGACCTGACCCGACCTGACCCAAATGCATGAATGCATGAAATCGTTGAGAAGTTGCGTCATTTTAGGACCGTGCATAGTTTCACTTATGCCATCATAGGTCAGTAACCTGATCTGACCTGACCTGAAAATGCGGTTGCCGGTTGGTGTCACGCCTGGTTCGTATCAATGGTCAGGTATGTAAACTCTCAACTCTCGATGGCGAGCACACTCCGACCAATCACGAAAAAAATCGTCTGCGGGTGGCACCTGCCCCCTTACGGCCGGCGAAGGTTCAGGTCAAGGTCAAGGTTACCTGACCTGTACGTATGAGAAAATGGGTATGTCAGGCGATCGGTATTGATGAACTGAACATATAAATAGTGTTTTCATTCTCCTGACATGCGTTGTCAAAAATACTGTTGAAAACTGCTGAAGTGCTAATAACCATTTGTAGCCTAAGATGACCTGACGGTTATAACTAAAAGGGGTCACAAGTACAATTTTCCAACTCAATATTCACCAGGTGAGTGACTTGAAACATGAAGTTAACCTGACATTAAGGTGTCGAATATATATGAGATGATATACGTTTACGGTTTAGGTTTAAGCAATGCATTCGATGACCATTCAACCCAATCGATCGCTAAAATGCAAAGCAATCGGTAAATTGATGTGCAAAGGCCGAGCATTTACTTAATGCTTGATATGAGGTCACTAGACGTGGCCTACATCATGGTTGCCTGAGTTTGAGTCGC